GCAAACGGATCGAAATCGTGGCTATGGTAATTATGAGAAGACAAAATTGTGTATTTTTCTGAAAAAAAAAAAAAAGTGAAAAGTAAAGACCACGTTTTTTTCTATTTCGGCAATTTGATGTTTCAAATCTCGCTGGCGATCTCGGAAATGTTCACCTTGATTCACCAACAAGTAAGTAGTTTGAGAAAATAAACTTCGAATCCAGAATTCGGACAGGTAGATCTAGTAGAATGACATTGCCTAATTGTTTTTGTCTGTTTCTTTAAAATTCATTCGTATTGTACGAAAAAATGTGTTTTTCCATTAAATTCCCTTCAAATACACAAATTCCACTTTTTCACGTATGTTTGATAAAGACACATGCGTAACATACGCGTCAAGTTTGTAGTTTCAGTGAAACTTCAACACCGTTACCGAGTCGACGAAAGCTGTTTTAAGATATAATTGAGGAAAATTTTGGACGAAATTGCAAATTCAAGCGTGTACGTGGTGCTTTTTGTATTATTTCTAAACGGGTACAATGTTATTGCAGATGATGACAGACCTATATCAAGAAGCTCACCATCAATTCCGAGATCATTTGCTAGATCACTTTCAAGATCGCTTTCCCAAACTCTTAAAAAAGGAAAATCAAAGGCTGAATTCAACGTCGATGTTCTCCAATACGATGGAGAGCCCATTACCATCGCTTGTATAGCCGAAGCTGAGTAAGTACCATAAGTAGATTATTCATGAGCATGCTTTGGTTAATATTTTCATTTTCTCAAATTTTTATGCAGTCATCGTGAATTTTATGGGGCTCGTGTTACTGATAGGATCCCAGATTATTTGATAGAAATGCTAAGCAATAGAAGAGGTCTGTCATTGTTTTTCCTTGGGGCTGGAAATGAAATTACTTCAGCATCTGGTAAATTAAAATATATTTTTTTCTGATCTAGATTTTCTATTTTCCATTAAAAAAAATCTCATTTTTCTTAATTAGGACTTTTGTTTAAGTTTGCCAGAGGTACTTTT